CCCTCCCCTCCCCCCCCTCTCTTTCCCCCTCTCTCCTTCATTGGCAGTGTAAAGATGTGTCCAGTGAGGTTGTAGATGGGTGGTCAGTTCCCTTGGCCAAATTTTGCTGATGTTTTTTATGGCTTGTATAGTATTTGAAAAATGTTCAAATTATTTTAAAACAATAAATTCCCTAGTGTTAGCTTTTCTGGAGAAATTGGGAGCTCTGGTTTAGAGGTTGTAGCTGCTCCTGAGGAAGGGTCAAGCTCCTGGTCATGGCACTTTCAGCACAGTTCTTGGAGCCCTGGAATGTGCTGTCATTGGTTTAGAAAGTTCTAGACTTGGAACACCTTCCACTAGGTTGAGTGACTTTGGGGTTTGCTGGAGTTTCCCCTTTCACCTGTCATCCATGTTTATGTGTGTACCAGGACTGTGGTAGGGTGGGTTTTTGAAACAAAGACTTCCTGGTAATCCATGGACTTGGAAGAAAATCTCTCCAGCACCTTTGGTGATAATTTAAACCATTTTTTCTTTCTCTCTTTTTTAAAATTATAATGTGTTTTAAAATGTGATTTTATAAATTATTATTTTACAAGGCCACGTTGTCTGCACCATGCTTTATAGGGCCTCTCTGGCCACAGCTGGAGGAGCACTTCTGGGTGTTTTATGGCAAATTATTCTCAGATTACCCTTTAATGCAGGAAGGGCTGCCTGTTGTCTGAGCTCCCCGGGTCATAGAGAAACCCCAGCCTTGATACAAAACAGCTGTCTGTGTTCCAAGGAGGGGCATTTCAGGCAGAGACAGAAGGGAAAAGGTTTTCATAGCTGGTGGGGTTTTGAAAAATGTTTAAGTTACTCTTTCCTTACCATTAAAATATGATTTAATTTTGTTACCAACAAATTGTGGAAATCTAAGAGAAAGTACTGTGAAAGGAGTTTGTTAAGAGTATCCTGGCAATACTTACACCGTGTCCTGAGGGGGTATTCCCCAGGGAGGACAGCATAAAACTCCTGCTGACCTCTGTGTCCCTGGGTCTCAGTCTGGCTGGGCCAGGGTCAGGGGGCAGCCCACAGACCTCCCTCCCCTTTCTCCTCTGGGTCCCTGCTGAGACCAGCAACAAAGGGGCCAATTGTCTGAGGCATCCCCTTGTCTGTGGGGCCCCAGGAGCCTTTCTGAATGCCAAAGTGTATCCATGCATGTTGGTATGTATGTATGTACACACACACACACACACACACACACACACGTATGTGCACATGTGATGGCTTTTGCCCACATGTGTATGTAGCATCTGTACAAACACATGCATTCATACATATACACATTTGAACAAGCATTGTATATATATATATGTTATATATATAGTGTGAAGATACGTGTGAGTATATATACATGTATGTACATGTACATGAACGGATGGATGTGTCCATATGCACACTAAAGCATTTGTGTATGGATGTGTGCATTCATGCATGTGTGCATGTGTGTGAGTGCATAAGATACAAGCAACTTGCTTAAAGAATTTTTGAGTCACTGGTGCATCTAAGCAGAGCCAGTGGCCTCAAGCTGGAGTGGCCAATGGTGGCTCCTGAGTATGAGGGAACAAAGGGTATGCCTCCCTTCTGGGCAAGTTGCACAGATTCCTTTATGTAGTGTTCTCTCCTGTATAGAAAACTTCTCTCTCTCTCTCTCTCTCTCTCTCTCTCTCTCTCTCTCTCTCTCTCTCTCTCTCTCTCTCTCTCTCTCTCCCTCCCTCCCTCCCTCCCTCCCTCCCTCCCTCCCTCCCTCCCTCCCTCCCTCTCTCTCTCTCTCTCTCTCTCTCTCTCTCTCTCTCTCTCTCCCTCCCTCCCTCCCTCCCTCCCCCTCCCTCCCTCCCTCCCTCCCTCCCTCCCTCCCTCCCTCCCTCCCTCCCTCCCTCCCTCCCTCCCTCCCTCCCTCTCTCTCTCTCTCTCTCTCTCTCTCTCTCTCTCTCTCTCTCTCCCTTTCTTTCTTTTGGTTTTTCCAGTATGGAAAGCTTTGAGCTGTTTCTCCTCACTTGCTTTCCCTGGAGGAAGCAAGAGCATAGGCATAGGGAGAGCAGGTATAAAGTCTCCTCAGGCAGTTCTTTGCCTATTTTGCCTCATTGGCCTGGCCTGGCCTGGGCTTCCAAGCTAGCTCCCCAGAGACTGTCGGCTCCCTTCCTGTCCCTTCCCAAGGCTGCCTGATTGGACCCAGTACATCCTGTTAGAACAAGTATGAGATGACCCGTCCTCATCCACACTGTGAATTAGTACCCACTGGCCACCGGGCTCGTTTCTGTGTCCCATCATTTTGGTCCCTAACACAGACTGCTCACAGAGGTCTGTAGATCAGTGGCTGCACTGGCCTTGGGTATATGCCAGTTTGGTCTTTTGGAGTCTTTAGGGCGTAAGTTTTCTTCTTTAATAAAATTGTCCTAAAAATGGCAATAAAACCCATTTGACTCTGAAGCTAGGGAGAGAGAATTTTCTGGTCACCTCTACAGTAGTTCATCCCAGCCCCTTCACCAGCACAGCTGCCATGGAACAGCTTTCTGCTCTCCCCCCCCCCCCATTTCCTCTCTGCTCCCAGCAATGGCTTATCTTTCAACTGTGGAAAAGCCACCAATTAAACTTTACTCCAAAGCTTATCAAAATATTCAGTCTGTAAAATTATCTTATAATTAGCTGAACTGTAAGCCAGAAGTCTTTAACCACAGGAAATGTAACGTGACCCAGTGTGTGGAGTCTATAAGTTGCTCATCCCGACCTTGGCTGCAGTTTCTGCTTTTCATTATTTCCCCAGTCATTTCCTCCTTGTTCTGTGTGCTCTTAATGATCCCCAAGGCCTCAAAGAAAATACACTACAAGTTTAGCTGAGATAGATCATGGAATGAATTCAGTTAAATGTAATATAAGATCAACTTGATTTTTAATATCTTAGGCATGCCCATTTATATACTCTGTGTGTGTATGCATGTTCGTGTGTGTGTGTGTGTGTGTGTGTGTGTGTGTGTGTTGGGGGGATGTGCATGTGTGTGGATGCCAGGAGACAGGTGCTGTTCATCTTATTTATTTATTTATTTATTTATTTATTCATTCATTCATTCATTAGGCAGAGTCTTTCTCAGGCCTGGAACTCACCATGTAGGCTAGGCAGACTGACCATAGGAATCGCCTGTCTGCTCGTTCCTGACGTGGGGGTTACAAGTGCCTGCTACCATATCCAGTTTTAGTGTGATTTCAAATGGGGTATTGAAATCAAGTCCTTCTGCTTGCAAGACAAGCACTTTTTCTACTGAGTCATCTTCCTAGTCCCTGCGTGCTTTTTTCCCTCTAAACTTATGCCTACTTTCCTGGGCTTGCTGATGTCTTGCCATGATTGGCTCTGTATTTTGGATGATTGCAGTATTATTTTGAATTACTCTGGAGCTGCACTGTTCCAGCGATATCCAGGTGATTCTGCAGCATGGCCAGCTGGCCAGCAGTTGGCCTTTCTTGTCTCGATTATTTCAGTTTTCTCTCTTTCCCCATCTCTGTTCTCAACTCTTTCTATAGTCTCATGACTTGGAGTCCCTTCTGCCATCTTGCACCAAATGTGGTAGCATCAGACATGTCATCTGTCACCCTCATCCTCAACTCTCCTGAGGGATAGCAAGGAAACATGGATGGTGTTTGGGGATCTTAAGGTACAACTTAGGCTTTCCTATAGAAACAGTATTACAGGGTGGTACTTAGGTTCTTAGTTGCTGTGAGTTTCTTAAACTGTTAATGCCTGGGCTGGGCATAAGAGGGCTCAGGAGGCTTACATAGGTTCACTGTACAATGATCGCCACCTTTTCTATAATGAAGTACTTCCAAAGTTCTAAATTAAGTTTGGGGACACAGTAACATTTTCATTGATGGGTATTACAGATAATGCTAGTACAGTAGCTACTATTGATAGTTTTCTGCATTTGTCAGAGAGCAGGCACATGAATTTACACAGATATAAACACAAATGTAGGAAACCTCTTCATCCTTATTCTGGAGAGGAAACAATGGTTCTGCTTATTTTGAAATTAGGAAACTGGCATCAAGATCCTCAATAACTTTCCATTGCAACTGAACTTGTCCCGCTAACCTGACTGTCTTGTCATTCACTGTTCACCTTGTGTGAACTGTTAAGGGTCATGCCTTATGATTTGACCATGTATACTTGAAATGTTTCTGTGATAAATCCTGTGGAAATCATGGTTTCATCTCAACCTCTTCTTGCTGCTGTGCCTAGCTGTCACATGTACCATCTCTTGAAGTTACATTTGTATTTTGGGCTTGCTTTCTCTACTGTCTTTTTGAGCTGATGGGAATCCCTGTAAAGGCTAAACTAATTCCCAGGAAAGCTCTGGCCCAGGTGTCAATACCTTGGTGGTCTGGTGTCTATCTGATGCTCCTATGGAAGAGGTGATGAGGGAACCCACTCTCGGCTTTGCTGTCCTAATGAAAATCTTGGTAACAGCTGCATGATGACACCCCATTCATCTGACGCTGTCCCAAGAGTTCTACCCTGCAAGTTGCTTCCAACTACAGATGCTTTCTTTATGATTCACAACGATTCTTGACCTTCTAAAGGCCTTTTCAAAATAGAATGATCCTTTAACGGCAAAGTTGAAATCAAGGAGCTATCATAAAAGGTATTATTTGTAAAACAACAAGGACCCTTAGGAAGCTTTTTAAGACTTACTTTTGTTATATGTGTTATGTGTATGCATGTATGCATGTGTGTCATGTATGTGTCTACTCTCCACAGAGGCCAGAATAGGACACCAAATGCCCTGAAGCTGGAGTTATTGCTGGTTGTGAGCCTCCGTGTTGGTACTGAGAACTCCACAACAGCCAGTGCTCTTAACCACTGAGCCGTCTCTCCAGCCCCAGACATTAGGAAACGTTTAAAAACAATTGACCATAGTGAATACTTTTCTTGTGAATTCAGCATGTTCTTTATACTATTTAATTTGTTTTTTTCTCTTTTGTCTTAATTACAGCTTGGACTGACGATAGCCATCCGCTATAGCCACAGGTAAAGCTTTAATATATATATTATTATATATATTATATATATATATATATTTTTTTAAGGAAATGTGCTTGTGGTTTAGAGGTTTTGGTTTTCTTGGGTTCTGAAGAATTTTGAGGTTTGTGTTTTGTTTTGGTTTCTTTTTTGGTGACTGCTTTTCCATGATGTGGATGTCCCAGTTGAAATTGCTACTTGGAGGAATAGCGGTGGTGGAATGGCTTTAGTTTTGACTTATGTGTTGCAAGCTGACCTCAGCCTTGCAGTCCTGCCTCAGCCTCCCTAGCCCTGGGATCACAGGGTGGTGCCCCAGTACTCAGTTCTGCCCTCAGTGTTGTTTACAGACAGCCTCACTTGTGCCTCAGCTTGTCTGGTTGGCTTGCCATCCTCCTGCCTCAGCTTTCAAAGTGCTAAGATCACAGGTGTGACCACTGTGCCTGCCCAGCAACATGAGAAGCTCTGTGTCAGGGCACAGATGTGATTTCTGTGCATCATGTTGAACCCGAGTCTGAGAACCAGAGTTAGGGATTTTTGCCTGGGAGGCCAGGCCAGGCCTGTTTGTGGAGCCCTTTCCCCACCCACCGAGCCTCTCTCCTTCCTGTCTCGCTGCATTTGGCAGTGGCAAGGTTCCTCTGTTTCATCTTCCTTCATGATTTCCACCTTGGTGCTAATTGCATCATGTCAATGAAAAAAAAAACAATCATTTTCTAGTGTCATCATTGCAGTCTTGTTCTATGAATGTTTCCAGCATCATCTTTCTTATTTGTGTGCATCAAGACATAGTGTGCTGAATGAATGAAAACAAAGGGTTGGTGAGCAGCACCTTCCTGTTCTCACGTACATTGTGTTCACAACTTCCCCAAAGTTCCACCCTCGGGTCAAAGACTTGCAGCTCAGGTTTATCTGGCCATCTTTCCACAAACAACCCAAAGGAATATCAGGCGTCGTAACAAAATTTCATCCTAGAAATGCGTGTTACAAGTTGTATGTGCGGTTTTGATCAAAGTATGCCACTCAGGCAGCTGCTGAGAAACAGAGCAGGTATGAATAGGAAGAGGGCAGGAGTGGATTTGAACTTCAGGGAATTCATGTGTGAGAAGAAAGGTCTGGAGATCCATCGTGGAGGGCCTCACCCTCCCTGGGGATCGGGGTGCAGATTGGGTAGGAGACTGGGGGGCCTGGTGGGGAGGGTGGGGGAGGAGGAGAGGGAGAGGAAGCTGGGATTGACATGTGAAACAAGCTTGTTTCTAACTTAAATTAAAAAAAAAAGGAAGAGAAAAAAATCAAGAAGACAACAACAACAACAATAAAAAGAAAGGAGTGTTTAGGAGACATGTCCGGAGCTCTTGTCTGTTTGGGGTTAAAGAAATAACTGTCCCCTGTCTGTCTGAGACCCCATAACAAAAGGCAGATAACGAGAGGACACTATGCACATTCATTCAATATGTTTTATATGAATAGAAGCTTTCATAAGGAAGCTGGAAGTGTTTCCTCTTTTTCTCTGTCTCACCTGGTTCCACTGGACCAGTCCCCCCTCACACACCCCCATCCCTGCTGTCACTTACAAAAAAATCATTCAGAGGCTAATATTAAAATTGTAATTGTTTGGCCAATAGCTCAGGCTTCTTACTGGCTAGCTTTACCTATAAATTATCCCATTTCTGTTAATTTATATATTGCCGTGAGGCTGTGGCGTATGGTGATGCTCCGGCATGTTACTCCTTTGGTGACTACATGGTGTCTCCCTGACTCTCTGCCTTCCTTCTCTCTGCCTCTTTGTTTGAATTTCCCACCTAGTTATATTTTTCTTGGCTATTGACTGAAACTTCTTTATTCATCAACCAATAAAAGCAGTGCATATTCACAGCATTCAGAAGGACATCCCAAATCAGGAACAAAGACCTAACATGAAGAAGTATGGTTAGATAGGAGTATGATCTAGAGCAGTGCTTCTCAGCCTGGGACCACTTTGAGGGTCAAATATCAGATATCCTGCATATCAAATATTTATATTATGATTCATAATTTTATGGTTGGGGGTTACTACAACATGAAGAACTGTATTTAAGGGTTGAAGCATTATGAAGGTTGAGAACCGTTGCTCTAGTGGTAATAAACTGATGGACCTTTTTTGCTCAGATCTTGCTGTGCTCTGGAGTCCTTAGAGGTCAGGATGCTCCTTTGGGAATTAGGAGGGTGCCTCCAAAGAGTCTTACGGTCTGTTTTAGCTATCTTCTCTTCTGTGATTTTTCTCGTGCCAAGAGGCCATAATTCAGAGCAACAAGTCCCAAGCCCTGTCTTCTGCCTGAGTGTTTCTGAGTCAGGAGCATGGTGGTGTTTGGATGGTGTGTACACACATAGAAACACTGTCCTGAAGAAGCATGCTGTTTCTTCATCAGTATAGGTTGTTGCGGCTGATGGGATGCATTTCACTGTGCCCTTAAGACACATGGTATGTGCCGCACTGAACTTTAGGTCATAAAGTCAATGGGATGCTGGGTGGATTGTATGGGGGGGCATTGGGAATATTGAGTGGTGATACACACCTTTAGCCCCAGCAGTTGGGAGGCAAAAGCAGATGGATTTCTGTGAGTTTGAGGCCAGTTTGATCTACAAAGAGAGTCCCAGGACACCAGGTCTGTTAAACAGAGAAAGCCTCCAAAAAGTAAAACAAAACAAAAAGCAAGGATGTTCTAAATGTAGATTGCTTTAGAGTGAGGTAGGTGTGTATGTATGTGCATATGTGCATGTGTGTGTGTGTGTGAGAGAGAGAGACAGACAGACAAAGACACAGACAGATGGACAGACACAGACTATCAGGCAGAAAAAAAAGACTGTGTCTTACATTTCTTCTCTCAAGCACTACTGCATTCGTTTAGAATCTGTGGCAGATGGAGTTTTCCAAAGATGGCGTTCTAGTGTTGTTTCTGTTTCTGTGATGATGTATCCTGACAAAACCCAACTTAAGGAAAAAGGATTTGTTTTGGTCTCAGGTCCAGGTCACAGTCTGTTATCATAGGATAGTTAAGGCAGCAGGGGGTTAAAGTCACATCACATCCACCGTCAAAAGCAGAGAGGAGCGAGTCTATGTACACTTAGTGTGCAGCCAACCCTCTCTACTCTTACACAGTACAGGACCTCAGTCCAAGGTCACCTACTTGTAGTCTGGGTCTCCCCACATCAGTGAAGGCAATCGAGAAACTTTGGTTTTGCTCAACCTGTGGCCACACTTATGGAGTATATTCCAGTTCCTATGGCTACCTGCCATCACCTAGCTCCCATTTTTCTGACAGGTATATTCCATAGGTTTTAGGTTTGGGATGAGCAGTGGCAATGGATTCTCTCTGCTTCACAGAGTCTGGGTGAGCCCTGTTATCTGAAAATTGGGATTTGCTTCTCCAGAAGGAGGTCCCAACTGAGGTTTTTTATCTTAAGCTTTTGTCACAGCGTCATTAATGAAGCTAGGACACACTCCTTCAAATACAGTCTGCCCTAGAGTCTTAGTGAGTGAGGAATTACTTGAGGGAGGAATGTAAGATAGCATCTTTTCTACAAAGCTCTCACAAGAGGATGCCCAGAGGTACTTGTGAGGTTTAAGAACAGATGCAAATCTTAGAGGGAAAGGAGCCAAAGGAGGCTTTGCAGAGGAAGTGACTTTCAAACTACTCTCATTTGCTTAAAGTGAGAAAGCTAGACAGAAGCCCGGCTGGCTCAGGAGACAGCCCTGGCAGGCTGGTCACATGGATCCTGTAGAATGCCTGTTTGTTTTTCTAAATTATTGTTTAGCATTTATTTGGAAGAGAGAGTGTTGGTGTGGGGTTGAAGGTATCATATGAATTGTGGCTGCTTTCAATTGCTTCTACAGTTTTAGTGTATCCATCTTGAACCCAAAGTCAGATCCCTTTCCCTCCCTCCCTCTCTCCCTCCCTCCCTCCCTCTCTCCCTCCCTCCCTCCCTCTCTCCCTCCCTCCCTCCCTCTCTCCCTCCCTCCCTCCCTCCCTCCCTCCCTCCCTCCCTCCCTCCCTCCCTTTCTCTCTCTGTCTTTTTTCTTTCTTCCTATTTCCCTTCCTTTTTTGTTTTTACATCCCTACTGCAGTTTTCTCTTCCTCCTCTCCTCCCTGTTCCCCCACCCCCACCATCCACTTCTCCATTTCTCTTCAGAAAAGGGCAGACTTCCCATGGGTATCAACCAGCCATGGTATATCAAGTTGTAGTGAGACTAGGCACCTCCTCTCCTATTAAGGCTGGATGAGGCAACACAGTAAGGAGGAAAGGGTCCCAAAAGCAGGCAACAGCATCAGGGACAGCCCCTATTCCCACTGTTAGTAGTCCCACAAGTAGACCGAGTTACGCAATTGTAACACACACTACACACACACACACACACACACACACACACACACACACACACACACACACACACACACACAGAGTCCCACAGTCCCATGCAGGATCCGTAGTTGTCAGTTCAGCTTCTGTGAGCTCCTATGAGCCCAGGTTAGTTGGTTCTGTGGGTTTTGTTGTGGTGTCCCTGACCCCACTGGCTCACACAATCCTTCCTCTCCCTCTTCAACAGGGTTCTCTGAGCTTCACCTAAGGTTTAGCTTTGGGTCTCTGCATCTGTTTACATAAGTTGCTGGGTAAAGCCTCTTTGATGACAATTAGGCTAGGCATCAGTCTATGAGTATAGCAGAATATCCTTAGGAAACATTTCAGTGACTTTTTTTGCTAGTCATGTTTAGATCTATCCTAGGTTTCTGAGCTATTCTGCCTCTCGGTCCTGGCCCTCAGGGATGAGCTCCCCTCTCATGGTCTGGGTCTCAAGCTGGAGCAGTCATTAGTTGGCCTCACACACAATTTCTGTGCCACCTTTACTTTGTAGGTGGGACAAATTGTAGGTCGAAGGTTTTGTGGCTGGGTTGGTGTCCCAATCCCTCCACTGGAAGTCTTGCCTGGTTACAAGAGATGCAGTCCAGGCTCCATACCCCTCATTGCTAGGAGTCTCA